TGCTTCTTTGACTGTGTTGTTTACTTCCTGTGTATGTTGTGGATCGTTTTGTTCCAGAGGATTTTCGTGAGCTTCACGAAAATACTCACTGAGTGCGCTGGCTTTTTCTTTGTTGGTGATGAACGTTTTACCCAGATTTGTCAATGGAGGCATTGTTTTTGAACCTTTTTTGCAAAATTTTGCTATTCTCCAAACTGTTTGGTTTGACGGTTGAATCTCTGAGAGACGCTTATTCCAGTTTTTGTTTTTGAGTTCTTTAATTTTCTCATTGATGACTCTCTGCAGATAATTCAATTCAGATTTGAGTTGATTATCTCTGCTTCTCTGCCATCTTCGACGAAGACTCCTTTTTGTGTTGATTAGATCTTTAATCTCCGGTGTGAGTTTAGTTGATTCGAACTTGATCTTTTTCATTTTTACACTTGAGTTCCTCGCTTCCATGATGAGTTCAGAGAGAATCTTAATGTGATTCTCGATCTCATCTGTTGTATTGCAAGAATTTTCTCCAATGTTGTCTTCAATGCGGCGTGAAATTTGTGCTTTGAACTTTTTCCAGTTTGCGTTTTTGTAGTCATATCTGTAGACTGTATTTTCAGTTCTGTCGATTTTTGATGTTTTAATTTGGAAATACACAGCGCAGTGATCACTCATTGCCTCTGTGCATTGAAGTTCTGTTGTTTCGAGGTTGGAATTCGAGAGCATCAGGTCAATTGTTGACACTGATTTATTTCGATCTTCTGGGTAGTACGTTGGCGAGTCAGGAAAGTAGATCATGAACTCTCCTGACATTTCCTGAAGAATATTTCCTGATTTATTTGCAACGTTGCAGTTCCATTCTCGATGTTTTGCATTGAAGTCTCCACAGATGTAGTAATTTCCTCTCAGATTTGTTATTTTGTTGATGTCATCTCTCAGATGTTGATCTATTTCCCCTCCTTTGCTTCCTCCTGGGAGATAGACTGAGAGGATGTGACAACTATCCGTGTCATTGATGAAGACTTTGATTCCAATGCATTCCATTAGTTTTGTGTTGTAGCTTGGTTGAAGCTGATGTTTTAGATTTCTTTTGACGATGATTGCAACACCACCCTTTGGTCTATCCACGCGATCCAATCGATGAATTACGTAGTCTGGATGCGAGTCAATTTTTGAGTTTGGTTTTAGGAATGTTTCTGAGATGCAAGCAACATCGACGTTTTGCTTGCTTAGGTAGTCGAGAAATGCTAACATTTTGTCAGTGAGGCCGTTAGCATTCCAGTAGAGGACGTTGATACTTTGTTGTCTACAATCCATTATTGTATGCGGTGTTTTTGGCACTTGAGCCGATTGCTTGGAGTATTTCGTCGATGAACTCTGGATTTTTGGCGATTAATTTGAGAAGCTCGCTGATAAGGTACTTGCACTTTGATTCCTCTATTTCTGAGATGTTTTTATCTCTTGTGCTGGTGCTTTGAGCTTGTTGATTAGTTGTTATGTTTCGATTCACTACCTCAACACTGAATGAAGGTTCTGGGAAGACTTCATTCGAGGTCTGACTTGTTGCACTGATGTCTTCTGAGTCCATAAGCTCAACATCTTGCTTTGGTTTTTGATGTTGATTGTTATTAATGCGCTCGTTTTGCTTTTTTCTTTGATTCTTTTTCCAATGTTTTCCTCTTTCTTTATTGTTTTGTTGGTTGTTCAAGTTATTTTTATTTCCCTGATTTGAGGGTTTGTGATTTGGAGGAGGATTTGTGTTCCTTGGTTTGTGGTTGACTGGAACTTGTTTTTGATGAACAGGCTTTTGTGTACCAGATGTTGATGGTTCCATATACTCCATTCTCCATTGAGGTTTTGGTGCTTGTTGGACGTTTCTGGTTGATCTCTCAGGACGATGCGGTGTTGGAGGATTGTTTCTCCGTTGTCCATATGAATAATGGCCTGCTGTTTTGTTTTGATTTTGGTTGTTTCCATTCTGTGATTTTGATTTCCATTTTTCAATTATTTCTTGTCTGGTTTTACAACCTGTGAAAATTGCTGTATGTTTTTCACCGCAGAAGAAACATTTGAGTTTTCCGAGTGGAACCTTGTTGGTCTCTTTCGATATGTACTGGCACGTTTTCGAGTCATGTTGCTCAGAGCATCTGAAGCAAACGGACGGTTTGTTACAACCGTTTTGTCCATGACCAAACTGCAGACATTTCGAACATTGAGATGGTCCAGCTTGTCTATTTTTGTAGTCAGCCCATTTAATTTTGAAACTGCTGACAATTTTGATTTTTCTGAGGAATTCCAGGAAATTTCCACCTTGTTCTACATCTTTTTTGAAGTACACGAGGTAGTTCTGGTCGTCGTCTTGCTCGTGTCTTTTGTGTTTCATTGTCATTTTGACAATTTTTACTGGTGTGATTTTTACGGTTTGAAGTTCCTTCTCCAACTCACTGATTTCCATATCTGGGAGTCCATAGAGTACGTACTTCTTCAGTGGTTCTTGGCTGGAGTATGTGTGGAAGTGATGCTTTTTGTCTTTGAGTAGTTGGATGAATTTCTCGTAGTAATCCCAACTCTCCGTTGTTACCGTTTTTGTTCCTTGTTTGCCCTTTTTGGTCTCAATTAAGAAACTTCCAGGTTGATTGTTTATTTCATTCGTCAATCTCTTGATTTCACCAGCTCCTCCTGTGCTGATGACAATTGGAGGTGGTTTTGATTTTTGTTGAGATTTGTTGTTGTTGCTTTCCGTGTTTACGGAAATTGTCTTTTGTTGCTCTGATGTTTTGCTGTTTTCTCCCCAGTACGAAGAAGTTGTCGATCTTTTTTTCTCGTGTTCTGGTGAACCAAATAGATACGGTACTCCAGAAGACGAAGCTTTCTTCACTGGTGGGAGTACGAACAGTGGTTTGTTCCCATCTTTTGGTTTGCTTTCGTTTGCTACTCTTTTTAAAAGAGCGTTGGGAACTATCACTTCTCGAGGGCGTTTTTCTGCTTTACTTGCTTCATTGAGAAACTTCTTTATTGATATTTGTTTTTTTGGTTTGAGATTTGTCATCTCAATGTCGGCTGCTTGTGAAACATCTTCACTGAAAATTTCCTCAATATTGAGAATTGTCACTGAAGATGAATGTTGTTGTTGAGAACTATTAAGTCCATGCTGATTTTGAGAAAGATTTTCTTCGTTGTTGGTAGTTTTTGGTGATGCTACCATTTTGATGTTTTGAGAATCAAACTGAGATTTTGAAACTTTTTGCAAACAAAAAGCTTCTCAGGTAGTCTCTGTTTTGTAGCTTATTTAACTTCAGTTGTGCTTATCGTTGACTCATACGAATTTTAATGGATGAAAGCAGATGAAAGTCTTAAGCTATAAATTTGCAAAAAGGTATAATACTCTTACAAAACTTAATAAAATTAACCAGAAAATGCTAAAAAATTAAAATAGCGTAGAATTTTCATAAATTTTTGACACTTTTTTTATTGATTTCTCGCTAGTCTTATTTTTTTCGTAGATTGTTACATATCAATGAAAAGATATTGAAAAATGAAACAAAATAAGATATTTATTTATAAATAAAAAATCGGAATTATTGAGAAAAAAGGATTTTTAATATTGAAAATTTCAGATTTGGAGAACTCATGAAAAACTCAATAGAAAATTCCAAAACTTATACGAGTCATTAACATTTATATAACAAATAAGTGTGCAAACTTTGAGAGTTTTTCATAAAGTCTTTGCTGAGAAAAACGAAAAACATTAAAAACTAGCATATATAAAATGCGTTTTTTACCCAAATTGACTATATTACTTGAAAATTTTCCTAAAATTTTCATGTTAACCTATTGGAAATTTTAATACCTTTTCAAAACTATGCAACACTTTATATCTTAGATACTTGTGTAAAGAACTATTTAAGAAATACAAAAATTTTAAACGATTTTTAACTCAATTTAACCTCCAAATGGCTTCAATTATGTTAAGTTCTTATTGATTTATGTTTAGGAAAAAACGAGGAGCAAAACTAGACAAAATAGTGAAAAAAATGTTAAAAAGAATGCATTTTATGAAATTCTAAAGTCAAATACTTTATTTTTCAAGTTTTTTTTTGAAAAAAACTATTTTTTTAAAAAACTGATCATGAAACTTGACAAAACTATGACATATTTATACTCAAAAGACGCGTTTTAAAAAGATCTATCAATCTAACTTAAAAAAATTAAATTTTACTTAAAACTGAAATTTTTATGATTATTTTTCTTTTTTGACCTTGCTCGACATACGACTTTCAGAGTCAAAAAAGTGCTCTTTGCCAAGAGAACACTTGTTCATTTTACTGCATTAATTGATAGCATATCCAGAGAGCTTTCTAAATGTGAAATAAAATTCCACTACCATGGGTATCCCTGGAGCACTACAGCGATTTTTGTCAAAAAATTGGTGTTTTTTTTATAAAAAAAATTTTTTTCACTACCAAAACTTTGTTAAAATTATACGACATGTATGCAAAAGTTATAGCTTTTGATGTAATCTTTAATATAAAAAAGAAATTAGTAACTTTGGTTGTGCTTGTGAAGACCTACACAAACGGAAGTATGACGAACACGTGGTTTTTGAGAAAAATCAAGTTTTTCACAAAATTTTCCAAAGTTTTTTGCAATTGTTTATACCTTAAAATGAAGGAACTATTTAAAGCTATTACCAAAAAAAAATTGAAGGAGATTCATCCATCCAGTGACTGGTGAGAGCATTTTCAATGTAACGTGAAAATGGTCGTCTGACCAACTTTGAAGTGCCATATCTCGGACATGCTGTCGACCTAGGCAAAGTTTTAAGGACGTAAATGTAGGACAGAATAAGGACTATCATATAAGCTGTAGAAATAATTTTTGGAAAAATTTTCCATTTCTGGCCCATAGTGGCTTGGTCACTCTCCAAAAAATAATAAATTTGAGCAATTTTAAAGTCTCTCTGAGAGAGCACTGAGAGAGTCACAATTACTGATCGCTAAAAACACAATTTTTAAGGGAGATATTTTCCAGTCTGTCAACGTTCATTGTCGTTCTTAGTTGTGTATATTGTACTGTTCCGTATTGGCATAATCAACAATAATTTTGTATATACTGAATTTTTTTTCTTTGTTTGTTTTAAGAAGCAAAAAAATTAAATTCGTATTATAAATAACAAATGCTAATGGACATTGCTTCATAATTTGTTTCATTTAAACGGGATTTATGTCAAGTTAATAGGTGACGAAGTGCAAAAATAAAAGACATTTTCATGAATATTTCATAAGTACAAAAAGAGAAAGGGAGAAACTGAAGATAAACAGAAAGGTAATAAATAAATATACCAAGAATGACAACATGTACGCATATTGTACAGAGAACTTAAACATTTGTAGATTCTGTTTCCCATCTGTTACTCTCATGTGCAAAAAAAAAATCAAAACATTTATTTTATCGCACTGATCTGCTATTTTTTCCGGTGTGACGTTTTAATTTTAAATTTTTGTATAACATTTCGTTATGAGTCCCAATATGATTGGATTTAATCACGTAATAAGAGTTCAGACGATTACCGTGTATTTTATAGCAGCAATGAAGGTTTTGAATCTTTGAAGATTAAAAGCGCATTTAGTAGTCATAGATAGATTTTCAATAACTTTAAAGGACAAAGCTTGAACAGAGAGCTGAAGTAGCTTCGTAACTTAGTAGTCTATACAACGGAACAATAGTCAAAAGTTCGAGTTTCACTAGTTTAAATAATCTCATTAAAAATGAATCAAGATTTCATTTAGAAGCTACGAGAATAAATTTCACAATAAAATTGGTTCAAATATATTTTGCAGCAGCAGACTAAAGAAGAAATGTTTCAATGATCATGACAATCAACATTTCGATGTTCAGTTATTTTTTGAATCTTGAATCTAACAATTCGAACAATACGTAGGCAAATCTGCTAGTACGAAAGTAATGACTCTGTGTTCGAATGGGTAAGCAGGAGATTTGAACTCGTTAGATTTATATTAATTGAATATTAAGGTTTGACTACCATCCATTAGAGATCGTCCTCTTAATCATTTTACAGAATGTTGTAGACTTAATTAACTTACTGACAAGAAGTGATTCATTAATCAAACATCTTTATCCAAGCTTCAATTCCCTCCCCTTAGTGCTTATCCTTAATCATTATGAAAAATTATTCATTGATAAGAAATAACGGACAAAACACCAATAAACAGCACCCATCCGAATTAAAACTACAAATATGCGCTAAAAATATAATGATTAAAGTCAATTTGTTTTTTCATTCATTTTCTATGGAACTGTATACTTATGTCTACATTCACAACTCATAATCATCTGTTTCTCACTCGAATGTGAACAAGACAAAAAATCTTTTAAATAATTTAATTTTTTTTTACTGCACATACGACCTTAATTTAACATAATTTTATAAACAATTGGAGGAACAGAAGCTACACCCATGTGAAAAATAATAAAAATTCAATTTTCTCCGTAGTAAAAATAATAGAAAATGAAAACTACAAAGTGCATATTATGTGCACTATTCTGTACATTCTTGATGCACAGTAATGTGCAATCAAGTCGACATGAAGGCTCAACAGATCCCGATTATGCGAGAAGTACATACATTCAGTTAGAGAGGAATTTATGGGAAAAATATATTGATAAGAATACAACTCTAACACGCAATGAGCGACTCTACAAGATTTTTAATCAGCATTTTATGTTTATTCAACAACATGTCGATCAGAACTACAATGATGAAGATTTTAAAATTCTATCTCGATATTATGAATGGAATAATTTAGAATCGGATGTAAAGAGCATTCATAGCTTGTTTAAAGACAATTTTGTGAATCGACTTACTAAAGATTTGGAAACAAATGACTTTCGATCAAATGGCTTTGATGAGCGTGCTAATCTAGATTTGGCAGAGACCGTGATTAGTGATCCTTTGTGGCCAATTAATGCGACGCTTAACAAGATTGAAATTAATATTTATCAGCAAGGATTGTATTATAAAGCTATATCGGTATTATTACTTTTCCTCATTCCCACAAATCACTTTCTTCCTTATAAATCTTATTAATTCTATTCATTCACATATATAGGAAGCATCAATCACTTTATGTACCGCACAAAGATCACCGCAACAAGTTTTATATCAACTTTATAATGCAATTACTATGACGGAATTGAAAGGATATGCAATGATGCAGTTCTCTTATATGCTTCTCAAAACTTATGGACGAGGTGAGTAATTTAATCTACAGAATCTTGTGAGAGATATAAATACTCAAAAGACATCAATGGCCGAACATGTTTTTGCTCTCTTCCGTCAAATGACCTTCATATGATTTTCATCTGGGGACTTTTCACATGTTATGGACAAGCTCATAGCATGCGATAGCTAACCTACCATCGAAAAAGATATATTAATTCTGAATGACTCATTTTTGTTTTATTTGCCATTCTTAATAGGAAACTACACACAAGAATCATTATTAATGAGAAAAAATTTTGAACGGAGAGCAACAAAGGCACAAGAATTAATGCAAAAAGTTCTCGAACGAGCAGATCGATCATTATGGAGATGTGACCCAAATACACATAAGGAGGGATCATCATATCTCCAAATAACCAGATTACTTCAAGGTTACATTGAGAATGAGGTTGATTTAAATCGCGATGGTGGATGTTGGGAAACTTGTTCACATTATCAATTAACAGAAAGTCATGGATGTTTTAAAGATTTGTATTGTGCGAAGCAGCCAAAATGTTCAGGAAAACTACTGTTCTGTACATTTGTTGTAAGTAATAATTGTTATTATCACAAAATTACACATGAACAAATTTAAATACATGTTTTAGGACTCTGACATGTGGGTTTGCCCTGCTGCTCCAAACAGTGATCGACGATATGAATATATTGAATATGAAAACGGAAGAACACTTGGAGAAAAGAAATATTGTACACGAGGAACAACTAAAGTCGATTCTTGGTGGAGGTAAATAAACTTCTCATTATGTCACTGCCTGAAAGAATAAATTAACATATCCATTCATTCTTTTAGATATCTATTTTGGCACTGCAGCTATTGTTTCTGTATTTGTGATGAACAGGGAAAAAAATCTGACAGATTTTTCAACTTGAGACCTGCTTTATCAAACATCTCTGATAACATGTACGTTAATTAATGAATTTCTGGTTTGTATTACGACTAATTCTGAGAATTTTTTTCAAATAGGATTGTGACTGGACTGAAGTTTACTAAGCAAAATCGTATAATACATCTTCAGATTCAAGAAGGTCAATTAATGGAACGTGGAAGAGTCAATGCAACAAGTACACGTTGGGTACCAGTCGATGACTATACACTTCTTGATAAAGGAGTTAGAGATGGACGTGATTTTCATACTTTAGCTTGGGATCGTCGTGAAGTTGATTTGGACGATTTAACAGCCCCAAGTGGACACGTTGTTGTAAGTATTTGTTTAAGACATTCAATCAGCATTTAACGAGAAACTTTTAAATTTTAGACTGGTGTGAAATTTCGAATAGTTGGACGTCATCTTAACCTTGAAATGCGCGTATCCGAAATAAACTTCAGGTTAGCTCACTTCTTATTTCTTATACCTTGTTCATTCATGGAATTTATTTATTTCGTCATTCATTAATGACTCACAGCAATGGACGAATTATTGAGCCAGAAAAGAGCTTTTGGATATCGAATGATAATACAGAGCAGTCAACACAGAATGGCAATAGAAGAACTGAAATTACCCTCAAATCACCAGACGTTCCAGTAAGAAGCAAAGCCAAATCACTTCCAATTTCACAACCAAATACTTATATTAAGTTCACAAATACTGATATGGGAAAGGATGCAGCACAAACTACAGTGCCATATCTTGATGCACAAGATGTTGTGAATAGTCCACCAGTTCCATTAGAAGGAGTTGGAGTCTTTTTGAAAGGACTTGATGGATATGGTGGATTTATATCACCAAGAATTAAAACTTTTGACTATGGGCCTTATGTACAGGCTGCTCAAACCCCGAAAGATTCTTAACCATTTCCATTCTAAACCTTTTTTCATGATCTCTAGATATTTAAGAAGTGAATCTTCATTTGTATGTATGTGTTGCATTTTTAAGGTACAGAAAATTCGTAATAAATATACTTATAATAATAATAAAATGTGAAGATTAAAGATAAGAAGTAAAGCTCTTTTTACTTATTCTTAATACTTATTATAAAAAGAGAGAGAGGAAGAAACTTACCTGAACACGCAATGGATGCATCATAAGTAATTTTATCGTCTCTGGTTCTGGTAGAATGTCATTTAATGAAATATTCATTGTCTTAACAGCTTGATATAAGAAAGCAGCCAGATAACGATGTAATGGAAAATGAAACGAGGCGTGCAGCATTTCGTCTTTTTCAATTCGTGGCGTGCTAAAGTTAACAGCATCAAGCCACTCTTGCAAATAGTTAACCAAATAGTTCATTATCTTTTTCGATAACTCTGCATAGCTCTTGTCTTTCAAATGCGATATTATTGACCACATTGGATATGCGCTAGCTTCTAATTCACAGCTAAAAGCGGCATAATATGAGCTTGGCTCAAACTCGACATGACTCGTTGTTTCGCGAATGTTCACGTTCATTCCTAAAAATCAAACAATTAAAACAAATGAGCAACATATATGGGAACAGAGAATCGAAAAAGTATTTACCTTGGAGCATAGACAGGAATTGGAACCACATATCAATAAGATTATCGTCTTTAAGGAATACTTGAGCAACTCGTTCGTGCGACAGAACATTATTAAAATCAGAAACTAATGGCCAATAGCAATGCTCTCGCATTACTTTCTTGGCACAATCGACGACGTAATGAAAGTTCTTGTCGGGATCTGCAACAAAAAAATAAAACACATTGTAATTAACAAAAAAATACATAGAAATTAAATTGAAACTCACCGTGCAAAGTATTAGGTATTAAGATTTTTGATACCATAGATTTAAGACTAATGATCATGACATGGAGCAAATTTAATTCTTCAACCATCTTCAAAGCAAGCGCTTCATTAGAGAACAATTGCACACTAACATGAACAACGCGATTACTCATTGTGTCTGGATCTTCAGACATTTCTAAAACACTCGGAATTCGGCTGTAATGCATCACAAATGTTCGTGTCAAATGCTCTTTATAGTCTTGATCAGGAAGCATATTAAGTAGAAAGCATACAACATTTTGAGGAAATTCATATTTAAATGTCCAAAAGATGAATTCTTCGAGGAGTGTCTTATGGACGAGTTGCTTCCCCAAAGCTGGTAATTTTTCATACTCAGCAGGTGGCTCTGGACATGGAAATAGTCTAACTGCTTCCTCATACTTTTGATTACTTCTCGTCATGTATGCACCATAGACATTTTTAGAGAATGGTGGATGAACTAATTTCTTATACATCTAGAATATAAAAAAAAAGATTTAAAGGCACAATGACAGACAGAAATTGAAATTAAATTTACCTCAGGATCGATTAATGTTCGCGTCATAATCCGTCTCATTAATTCCCCCATATTATTGAAGTACATCAACATGCTACAATAATCATCACAATCCTTTGCTGTTCGCTCATAATTATAAGAATGTCCTCTTATGCTGTGATGATCACGAAAGTAAAGTAATAATCTCAAAAGTAGTCTTGGCATTGTTGCTTGAGCGACACACATTAAATCAGGTGGCACTGGACCTTTATTAGTTCGATTATCTATTCCATGATCACTACAAAATCCTTCAGCTTTCATGACTGATGTATCACCGCAATCACAAGCTCCACCAGCTTGTGACAGAAACATATTAAAGTCATGATTCTTATGATTTCCTCGCTTAAAACAATCCCTACATATTGACATACAAGGCGACGTTCCACATGTACGACATCGATAGGCTACGACGTGTGGTACCCAAACTAAGCCGCATTTTGCATGATTATCATAACTACGAACTGTAAAGGGAGATTAAAATATCAATAAAGACATTAATGAGATGTCGATAAGCTTATGAGGAGAATAAAGATAATAAATTTTCAGCCTTCAAGTCAATGAGAAAAACAACACTTAAAGGGAGGGAGGAAAAAAGATTCTTCTTTAAATAAATGTGGTGTATGCTATGTCTTAGCAATTAAACTGTGTGAATTACCGGAACAACTTTTTCTTTCCATCTTATGCTTAACCATTTTTTTTTTCATGAAACTCATAACTATGAAAATCATCGTTGCTGCTGCTATTATTATTACTATTATTGTTGTTTAAGAATGGTTCTAGTTAGTCTCAACTGATAATGTTCATATATGTGTTCCCTTCAATGAATGTAAAACAATATGTTTAAAATGCAGAAAATGTTTATGTACTGCGCTAGGTGAGAAATTAGCTATGTACGAATTGAATTCATAACACACAGTGATGATGCATTATGCTCTCTGCTGTATGTATGTATTGTAGAACCTTTATAACTTATAATTATCATCATGTGATCACTATTTTTTTTTTTTGGTAAATTCTTCTTCATTTCATGAAGCAATATGGCTTTTTGTGTATCTGCTATTTTTAATTTCCTTTTAGTTTTTTTTTTTTTTGGGAAACATAAAAAAAATGAATTAAAAATATGAATTAAAAATATGAAAGATTCTCTTCGAATACTTATTATGCCTCTCCTTTTTAGCGCATTTATTTGCGAAGAAATGAAGTTTTTAATTTAACTTTCATAGATCTGACAAATTCAACTGTCGTATAATTTTTAAAATTTTTGAACTTTGTCCAGTTTAAATTCAAATATTTTCTAGCCGTCAATTTTTCATTACATATCATTTAGACATATCTTAGGCCTATTCATAAAAACTATGCTTTTGCCGGTTACGAATTAACCACGTCTGCATGAAAAAAATTGCTTTTAACAAAAAATAAAACAAAAATGCGGTCAAAAATAGTTTGGGAAGAATTAAAAAATTCTTTTTTAAGCAACACAGTTGTGAGTTAATGAACATTTTTCTTTCGATTGTGATCTGATCGGAAATTATAATAAATCTTTTTTTTTTCTACAATTTGAATTTCATATTTTTCATTACGGATTTAATCACATTTACAAATTTAATTCCATTTATACATTTTTTTTTTCTTTCAGAAATTGATAATCTGATAAATAAAACATTTATTCAGTATCTTAACTTTCAATGATTCAAGTTCGATAAACCTCGCCGTATGTTGTTTTTGTTTTATTTTGACTTGTGGATGATTTTCTGGATTATCATTTTATTTTTTGTGATTTTATGTAACACGACGAGCACGATTCATAACAATGATAAAAGCAGAGAAGTTCGTATGTCCAATTTTATATTTTTCTTGAATGAAAGAATGCTGAAATCGAAACGACCTTCTCGCAAACGTAAGTTTAAGTTCAATGAACCAATACGTCGGGTAACGAAAAAACTAATTTAGGAATGTGTAAATTAATACACCAAAATTTTTCATATGTTTATAAATAATAATTTTAAAAATTTAAAATTAGCATAAATAGTGTCGCTTGTGAGTCACGAAAGTGCATTTTATGCTGCATTAAATTTGAATAAATAATATTTAAGATTTAGCAGTCAAAAAATATTTTAAAAATAACTGCGAAAATAAGTTTGAATTTTTGAACTTAGAACAGTCAAAAATAAATTTGAATTTTGAATATAAATAACGGCTTGACAAAACGTGGACAAGAACGACTTTTCAACGTGCTTCAATGCACTTAAAAATCAGGAGCACTTGATCATCAATTATTAACGTGAATGTTTCGATGTCATTGCACAAAATTGAATTAATAAAAATTTAAACTATCAGTCAAATAATTCGCCCCAACATGTAAAAATGGAAGCATAAGCAGAAAAAAATAGCAATCGCAGCATCTATTAAAACAAAAAAGTTGATGAAACATGAAACTTATTATCTATCTACTTGCTTAAGAAAATGAAATAAATAATAAATTCCGTACATTGAACTTCACAAGAAGTTAATTAAACCTAAACATATAAGCCAAGTCAGAGAGAAACCAAACCAAACGTAAGAACTCTTTTTTTTTCGATAAAATAAAGAAGAAGAGGCAGGCATAGAATGGAAAAAAGATAAAATGGGGAAAGAAATCTTATGAAAAAGGTATATGCATAAGAATTATTTGTGTTCAAAAAAATGTAACACAATTGAAATCGAAATGAAAAGCATCCAAATTCTCTCTCAGTTCCGTTCTATCCAATAAGTTATAGAAAATAAACAAGTGGTTGAGAGATACAGCACTGGATCATGAAATTTTCTGAACCATGTGCTTTGTTTTGCACTTTTAACATGGTTTTTGTTTTTTGGATTTTAATAGAGCAACATAGGAACTAGATGATGATGCCGCGTGTACGACATAAAAGATGTGTGTTTCTGAATAATTTATCTCGGAGAGTGAGAAATATCGAAAAATCTCGGCAAAATAACTAAATTGACTATGAGGCAAAGAAGATTTTCGTAATATTAGTCTGCTGTTGCCGTCGATTTTTATTTTTTTTTTCTTTTTCATTAACTAAGAAGATGTTCTTTTTATTACAATAACACTATACACATATAAATAGGCTCAGAGTTGTTATCTACGGTTACTGACTGGCGTGTGACTTGCGGCCCAAAAATTAGACCAGATAAAGATTAGACAAACATTTAGTAGTAAACAACATTGTCACTGTCCTAGATTTATGGCATTGCCAACAGGTTATAGACACCTGCTTTACAACTCTGAATTTAGCAAGTGAACTTCTTCATATAGGCAGGCAGAGAAGAAAAAAATGGATTTATCGATTTAATATCATACCTTGACTTGAGAAATCGTTGGGTGATTTTCCACTTGCAATAATCCATTTGCACCATTCGATGATATCGGAATCATTGAAATCTTTATCGGGTCTTAGTAGATCATCAAGCATAACATTTAAAGTTTCTGAGTAGCCATTTGCGGAAAGTTCTTGATGAATTGTACTTGCAATTGCTCGTTTTCCTTTTTGCTTTAATGCTTTTGAATTCCTTAGATTCTCTAATGGACTATCTGACATTTTTTCCTTACTATCTTCCCACTGCATTTTTCTTAACTTCTATTATTAATTTTTTTATTATTTTTTTCCTTAATTAGCACTAAAATTTCTTCTATTTTATTCCTTTTTCTTCGTCACTCTCAAGTCACATTTTTTCATACACTCTTATCCTTCATTATTACACATCTACTTAATTACCTACATATCCCATAAACCACAGATATCGTTCAAATCACTTTTAATAATGAAAATGATGTGCTATGAAATAAAGGTATGCTATTTTTAACGCAGAATCACTGAATCACTTCACTATAATATTCACTTTGACTGGCGGACTATTTGCTTCTATTTTTGCTTCTTTAACTTAATTAAACTTAGCATAAACTGTTTACTTGAAATTTTCTCTGTTGTTTTGAAAAGATTTGAGCTATCTTAAAACTTAATTTTACCACATGCTGTATTACTTTTAAGCAGTGCCTGATTTTATTGAAATGTTTAAAAGTAAGGGAATGGTCTTAAAATAGCTTAATTAACGAAAAAGATGTCACTTGATTGACAAAGGATACTATTTTTTCTCACGGATCAAATTCAAAGTTTAAAAACCGTTTTATTTTTAACATTTTAAAAATAGCTAGTTTATACTATTCAACACCTGTTTCAATTAAAGATACAAAATAATTATGTATTGCAAATGCGCCCAAGTCACTAATTGCATTTTTCGGCGATATTTCTACTTTATTTCTTTACTGAATGTCCTAAAATCAGAGCAATTTTGAGTGCTAAGTTTTTGAATTTTTTTCGACCGTTACTGATATCAAGGTGTCTTTACAAATAAAGAAGGAGAAAAACTAAGCTTAAAAGTTGAACAACAAAATTATTTTGCAAACTCATCTTCTGAATAATTTGTCAATAACTCTACTTTCTGGTTAATTTAATTAACAAAACTACTTCAAAATGACTGCATCATCTAAAGTAAGTAATGTACAATTAATAAAAAGCAATATAAATAACGAGAATCATGGAATTTAGATGGAAATCGATTGTGGACCTCGAGGAGAAGGATTTAGAAGCTATTACATCCAGAAGATTGAGGAACTGCAGCTTATTGTCAATGAAAAGAGTCAAAATCTTCGTCGTTTACAAGCTCAACGTAATGAGTTGAATGCTAAAGGTAAGTAACATTACTTTCCAAATTTATTACTCATAAAAATGACGATGACATGTCCTACATGTACAGTTCGTATGCTACGTGAGGAACTACAATTGCTTCAGGAACAAGGAAGTTATGTTGGAGAAGTTGTAAAGCCTATGGATAAGAAGAAAGTATTGGTTAAAGTACATCCAGAAGGAAAATTTGTTGTTGATGTTGACAAAAACATTGATATTAATAATGTCACTCCAAACTCTCGAGTTGCACTCCGCAATGAATCTTATACTTTGCATAAAATCCTTCCAAATAAGGTTGATCCATTGGTATCATTGATGATGGTTGAAAAAGTTCCGGATTCTACTTATGAAATGGTTGGTGGCTTGGATAAGCAAATTAAGGAGATTAAAGAAGTTATTGAATTGCCTGTTAAGCATCCTGAGTTGTTTGAAGCTTTGGGAATTGCTCAACCAAAAGGTGTGTTACTTTATGGACCACCTGGAACTGGCAAAACATTATTAGCAAGAGCAGTCGCTCATCATACCGAATGTACTTTTATTCGCGTGTCTGGATCTGAATTGGTCCAAAAGTTCATCGGTGAAGGATCTCGTATGGTCCGTGAATTATTTGTTATGGCACGAGAACATGCTCCATCAATCATCTTTATGGATGAAATCGATTCCATCGGTTCCTCAAGAATTGAATCCGGAAGTGGTGGAGATTCTGAAGTTCAACGTACTATGTTAGAATTGTTGAATCAATTGGATGGTTTTGAGGCCACAAAAAATATTAAAGTCATTATGGCGACAAATCGAATTGACATTTTAGATCAAGCTTTGCTGCGACCCGGAAGAATTGATAGAAAGATTGGTAAGTCTTATCATATTTCATTTTTTTTTTCTTTGGTGGGAATAAGACGATGAAATTTGCATAAATTAGTAAGTCATTCTAGCTTTTCGCATAGTCATTACTACAAAGTCTTGAGCCATTAATAAATTTAATTTTATGTCTATTAATCCTTTCGTATTTTAAGTGATAAACATTTTTTTTGTTAATAACCGAATTAAAGCGGATCGTTTTGTGATCAATACAAATAGAAACGTGATTTCGACGTTACTTATACATCTCTAAAATGGGAAGAATTTATGGGGGGCAAGAATAAATGGTGTGATAGACATGTGACTAAGCTATTTCCAAAAAAGGATTAAATTATGTATTAAAGTATTAAATGCTAGACGTCATACACAGACAATCCCCAGAGAATAAGAATTCGAAGATTAATTTAAACCGCATATGGTCGAACGTCTAGAAGCTGATAAAACGCTTTCTAGCCATAAAAAAATTTATATGTAAATTTTTGCTAATTTTTCTCCTCTATTTACTATAATAGAGTTTCCAGCACCCAATGAGGACGCACGCTTAGACATTCTTAAGATTCATTCGCGCAAGATGAACTTGACACGTGGTATTAATTTGAAGAAAATTGCTGAATTGATGCCGGGTGCTTCAGGCGCCGAAGTAAAAGGTGTGTGCACTGAGGCTGGAATGTATGCGCTACGTGAGAGACGAGTTCATGTAACCCAAGAAGACTTTGAAATGGCAGTGGCTAAGATTATGCAAAAAGATAATGAAAAGAATATGTCCATTAAAAAGCTGTGGAAGTAAACTGTCATATTATCTTTTTCATACTTTATCATCATATATTATTTTAAATGCTGTAATAGGATATACATTTTTTTTGATTCTGATTTTTTCAATAAAAAATAAAATACCTTAATAATCGTACCTTAATCTCTTTGATAATATATCATCATAGAAATAGGATTTAAGACGCGCGACTTCTAGAAGTCATTGCGAAAGCCCATAAAGCAGCTAAAAATAAACAACATAATGTATGCGGAATTCCATTTCAATATATATATATATATTATAATGTCTGATGTAATATGCAAATCTGTCAGCTGTTTTGTCAAAGAAATTGCCTTTTATGAGCGAAGAGAGAAAGACCAAAACGGAAAACAACTAGTGTATCGGGTAGAAACCCAATGCGGATATATTCACACCGTACCATCAAAAGTCTTATGGATAGACCAAGATTTGCTCAGCATAAGTTTGAAGGGTGGGTGTGAAGTACGACCGAGACCCATATCGACACAGTTCAAAAGTTATACCTAATTTATGTTATAATTATGTCAGCTACAAAAACACTTAGTTTGAATTTTGTCACCCTCGGGAACACTATGAACCAGTATAGCTGATTTTGGTCCAAATCTCGGCCATACTTCACACTTATTTGAACCACATTTTCTCGTCAATGTTAAAATATTATTAAAAAGTAATTAATCCTGAATTATGTCGCTATTTTGTCAAGTGTTTTAAGATAAAGAATTTGTTTTTTGGTTTCCACAGTGAAGAGTATGAACAAAATTCAGATTGGGTAGTCGAAATTTTAGATTTAGATTTTTTTTAAGCTATGCATTACAAAAAATAATATTGGTATGTGATGTATGTCAGAATTATGTCAATTCAAATAAAACATCCAAAAAATTTTTTTGACCAAAGTAGACCATAGAAATTCAATTTTCAATTTTGGACAAGGGGCGACCCTAGTCAAAATCAATTTTGTCACTTTTTTCTTCGAGGGTTTATCCAAATGGATTGAAACTTTGCATAAATATTCAAGTGCTTAAAACAAACACAAATAAAACATCCTAAATTTATTTTGAGCAAAGAACCAAGTAGGAAATACATTTTCAATTTTGGACTAGGGGCGACCCTAGTCAAAATCAGTTTGTCACTTTTTTCTTCGAGGGTTTATCCAAATGGATTGAAACTTTGCATAAATATTCAAGTGCTTAAAACAAACACAAATAAAACATCCTAAAGTTATTTTGAGCAAAGAACCAAGTAGGAAATACATTTTCAATTTTGGACTAGGGGCGACCCTAGTCAAAATCAGTTTGTCACTTTTTTCTTCGAGGGTTTATCCAAATGGATTGAAACTTTGCATAAATATTTTTGTGCTTAAAACAAATACAAATAAAACATCTTAAAATTTTTTTGAGCAAAGAACCAAGTAGGAAATACATTTTCAATTTTGGACTAGGGGCGACCCTAGTCAAAATCAATTAGTCACTTTTTTCTTCGAGGGTTTATCCAAATGGATTGAAACTTTGTATAAATATTCAGTGCTTAAAACAAATACAAATGAAACATCCTAAAATGTTTTTGAGCAAAGAACCAAGTTGGAAATACATTTTCAATTATGAACTTGGGACAGGTCAAGTCCCAAATTGACAAAATCTAGTTTTTCACTTTTTTTCTTCGAGGATAAATCCAAATACAGTAAAACTTTGTGTGAGCATTCTAATTTTCAGGTCACACATTTCTGAATTAATAAACATCATTTTTTGGACAAAATTTTAAGTCACGTTGTTTTTGAATGTAGTACCAAATTTATAAAATTTGGGTCTGACGACATATAGAATACATTTCTTGCTTTAGATATTTAAAACTGTTTTGTATAAATATTAGTATACTCACACAAAGTTTCACTGTAATTGGATAAACCTTCGAAGAAAAAAAGTGAAAAACTAGATTTTGACTAGACCTGTCCCAAGTTCATAATTGAAAATGTATATCCTACTTGGTTCTTTGATCAAAAAAAATTTTAGGATGTTTTATTTGTATTTGTTTTAAGCACTTGAATATTTATGCAAAGTTTCAATCCATTTGTATAAACCCTCGAAGAAAAAAGTGACAAAATTGATTTTGACTAGGGTCGCCCCTAGTCCAAAATTGAAAATGTATTTCCTACTTGGTTCTTTGCTCAAAAAATTTTTAAGAATGTTTTATTTGTATTTGTTTTAAGCACTAGAATATTTATGCAAAGTTTCAATCTATTTGGATAAACCCTCGAAGAAAAAAGTGACAAAATTGATTTTGACTAGGGTCGCCCCTAGTCCAAAATTGAAAATGTATTTCCTACTTGGTTCTTTGCTCAAAAAATTTTTAAGAATGTTTTATTTGTATTTGTTTTAAGCACTAGAATATTTATGCAAAGTTTCAATCTATTTGGATAAACCCTCGAAGAAAAAAGTGACAAAATTGATTTTGACTAGGGTCGCCCCTAGTCCAAAATTGAAAATGTATTTCCTACTTGGTTCTTTGCTCAAAAAAATTTTAGGATGTTTTATTTGTATTTGTTTTAAGCACTTGAATATTTATGCAAAGTTTCAATCCATTTGGATAAACCCTCGAAGAAAAAAGTGACAAACTGATTTTGACTAGGGTCGCCCCTAGTCCAAAATTAAAAATGTATTTCCTACTTGGTTCTTTGCTCAAAATAACTTTAGGATGTTTTATTTGTGTTTGTTTTAAGCACTTGAATATTTATGCAAAGTTTCAATCCATTTGGATAAACCCTCGAAGAAAAAAGTGACAAAATTGATTTTGACTAGGGTCGCCCCTAGTCCAAAATTGAAAATGTATTTTCTACTTGGTTCTTTGCTCAAAAAAATTTTATGATGTTTTATTTGTATTTGTTTTAAGCACTAGAATATTTATGCAAAGTTTCAATCCATTTGGATAAACCCTCGAAGAAAAAAGTGACAAACTGATTTTGACTAGGGTCGCCCCTAGTCCAAAATTGAAAATGTATTTCCTACTTGGTTCTTTGCTCAAAATAATTTTAGGATGTTTTATTTGTATTTGTTTTAAGCACTTGAATATTTATGCAAAGTTTCAATCCATTTGTATAAACCCTCGAAGAAAAAAGTGACAAACTGATTTTGACTAGGGTCGCCCCTAATCCAAAATTGAAAATGTATTTCCTTCTTGGTTCTTTGCTCAAATAAATTTTAGGATGTTTTATTTGTATTAGTTTTAAGCACTTGAATATTTATGCAAAGTTTCAATCCATTTGGATAAACCCTCGAAGAAAAAAGTGACAAAATTGATTTTGACTAGGGTCGCCCCTAGTCCAAAATTGAAAATGTATTTCCTACTTGGTTCTTTGCTCAAAAAAATTTTTGGATGTTTTATTTGTATTTGTTTTAAGCACTTGAATATTTATGCAAAGTTTCAATCCATTTGTATGAACCCTCGAAGAAAAAAGTGACAAAATTGATTTTGACTAGGGTCGCCCCTAGTCCAAAATTGAAAATGTATTTCCTACTTGGTTTTTTGCTCACAAAAATTTTATGATGTTTTATTTGTATTTGTTTTAAGCACTAGAATATTTATGCAAAGTTTCAATCCATTTGTATAAACCCTCGAAGAAAAAAGTGACAAAATTGATTTTGACTAGGGTCGCCCCTAGTCCAAAATTGAAAATGTATTTCCTTCTTGGTTCTTTGCTCAAAAAAATTTTTTTCATCCAAAGTTTAATTTAAAATAAAAAAAAATCACAGTGAACTTTTAATTTGAAAAATTTGTAAGAAAGGAAAGTTTTTTGCTTTTTCTGAAGCAACGGCTGTTCCTACCTTGCCCAAAAACAATACAGCTCTTCTATAGAGCAGCACGGATCAAATGTGAAAAACTAGAAGTCTCTACAATGTCTCGTTATTGAGATTTCTTGCTGATTAACTTGCTTGCTTGTTTGCTTACAGAAAGCGTATTTTGCGATTTTCTCAGCAATGCCACAACCAATTTGAAATCTGTTTTTTGAAAATGATGTAAAATTTTAGGCACAAACTTTTCTTCCGTGACCTTTTACAACCAATTTTGCTTTGTTTTCTCACAAAATGCGAAAAACTGATTTTTCAATCTGAACAAAACCAATAGATTCACACGTGAAAACGGTGTGAACATAAAATTGTTTCAATGCTCAATGTCATCTGCTGGAATTTTTTCGATGATCTTGACTGCATAGTTAATCGGTGCTTAATGTGATTGAGTGATTGAATATCATGGGAATTGTTATGAAATTCAATTTTCAAAGTTTAAGGTTTTCTTCATATTTCTACAGCCAAGCAGCCACACATTGTCAACACATCCCTAATGTCATATTAAGAATTAAGATTTTCTTATAATTTTATGCAAAATGATTACTACTGTAAACAATCTTCTTTCTTTTTCGATGCCGTAGATGTGATCTTTGCTTGCCTCGGTGATGAAGCAGATCTTTATCTACGAGCAATAAAACTTCTGTGTATTTCCATCTTAAAATTATAAAATCGCCGCTGATAGTGGCTTTAAAGCCGTGTTTTTTTATATTTTCCATTAAAGGAACATTATTTGTATAGTAGAGCAAACTCTTATATATGGGCCTAGTAATCTCGATTGAAGTTATTAACGTTAATTTTTGGATCTTTCTTTATAAATTCAAAATTTTTGTTTTCGTGAAATTTCTAATCAATTTAAGCATAATGTTTGTTCTAATCCTGATTCTTTTTAACAGCTACACAATTTTAATGATGATGACCCAGAACTGTTAAAATTGCCAGAAATAATTTTTAACTTAAGTTGGAAAATTTGATTCCATACAGGATTTTTGAAAGTTCATGACTTGATTGCATGTCAAACTCTAAAATTGAATAATTAAAACTTTCGTCGACTGGAAAGAAGTTGCTTGCTAAAATAGAACGTAATAAATTTATCGAGAGCAGTTTTCAGATGAAGCTTCTTCCTAATCTTCAGTGTTCGTATTAATGTCATAGAATTCAATAAGATATAAATATTTTGACAGCAAGCAAGCATACACTAACAATTTATAAAGCAGTCCGAGATGATTTAGTTGTAATCAACAGCAGCAACAAAAAAAAACTTTACAGGTTGTTGGAGGAAGAAGCAGCAACACACTTTTATGCTTTTCTGCTTGAGTTGTTTGATACCTCTTGTTCAGCGATCAGACGAAATAAGTTTAATGCCTTTTGAGCAATAAAATCAAGATTTATGGCCAGAAAAGACTTGATTAATGCATTTGAAAACATTTTATTTGTGAGAAGCCAGCAAGCAAAAAGAAGAAGAAGAAGATGAAGTCTACATTTCGTGACACATGTTTAATGCTATGTTTTAGGATATTTAATATTAATTTTGACGAGTGTCACCAAAGAGGCGTCTTTAATTTTTAAAAGAATAAATATAAATATACAACGACTGCGACTGAAAGAGGATCTACTTCACAAATCTCATCATACATATTGATAGAAAGAGAATGATATAAAAGAATCTTGGCCATACAGCAAAGAAAGAATGTTAAACTGGAATGAAATGGAAATTTTAAGCGTGCCAAATTTAAAATTCATATAGGTAAATGCTGGAAAGATGTCTTTTAAAATAATCATACACGAAAATATATTCACAACAGGATAGAAATTTATTTTGCCATTCGAACTTAGGCATTCAAAATAAAATCAAATGGCTTTTCAGACGTCGGGAGTGATCTCGAGTATATCCTGCAAGTTATTTACATAATGATTTATATTGAGAATATTTAGAACTCACGTGAATGCGGATTTGGTGAAAGAAGCGTGGACAGAAAATTCCGTAAAAATAAAGACAGAAAGATGAGATCAAATCCTGTGGGAATAATAATTTTTCACAGACATCAACGAAAAAAGATATTTTACATGTGTTTGAGACTGGATCTCTAATATATATTTATATTTAATTAATTCCAATTTCAGCAAAGTTGTTACTATTATTGATGATGATGGTGGTGATGTGTCGCGTATTTCTTGTTTATACACTTCTTCTACTGATCCGAAATGCTACTCATCCTCTACAGTCAAAAAACGAGAAATTTTTATCAGAAAAAAGAGGCATTAGACTCATCGGAAAATAAAATTTTGCTAGTCAGCAAATAGACGTTGAATCGATAGGACGCGATAGACTTTTAAAGGTGCCTTAACTTTATTTTTCTTTCGTCTCGTGAGGATCATAATCAAAAAATTTGATGTTCATGTTGTCAAGAAAATTTTATTGCTAAATTCCGAAAAAAGCTGTGAAATTGAAAAAGCCATCAAAAAATATTAAAATAAATAACGACCAAAACTGAAAAAAAGGCATTGAAAATATTGTGTCTAAATTCTGTTTGTTTTGGAATAAAGCTCTCGAGGCAAAATAAATCAATTGAAGAGTTGGAAAAACATTTATTGTTGCTATAAATTCAATTTACTCAAGCTCAAAAATTTTATATTTGAGCATATTGAGATAAGGAAAAAGTCATAACGCAGCTATTAAAATAAACACAATGAGAAGCTCCACTTCTTTAGGTAAGTAAATCAAATTACATTTAAATTGTGAACATGGAAATTTTTACCTTCACTGACTTGCTCCTATCTACACAAAATTTATTGCATCATAAATTCTCGTTTCGATGAGAATCTTGGGAAGTGCCGATAGATCATAAGAATTTGATAAAGAATCATTTATGTTTGCATGACTTGTGCTTTATATCTTTACTTGAGGTGAGGATATGTCAGCCAATGGTATGCTTCTGTGTGGTTTAAGTTATTTAAGGGATTAAATGTTTAAGCTTAGTTCATGGAAAATTAAAATACATTTTTTTTTGTTTAAAAAGTGAATTCAATGAAGAAGAAAGGATAATTCATGATTAAGTTAATTAATTTCAAAAAATTATTGGAAAGAATGCTGAAAATTTTATTTTTAATTGGACATTGCTAAATGATTCTTAAGTGAATTTCATAGTTTTCAACAGATAAAGTGTAGCAGACGATAGAAAAAATTCCAAAAAATTCATTTTCCATTTTTTGAAAAGTTCTTCTATTTTCGATCATCATAAGTGAAAGAACTAAGCTACACTTTTCACTGTGTAAAATTGAGTTTATAATTTTAAAAAATTAGAATCCAAATTCAATTCTAAAAATCAAATAAGTCAGCCTCTTAAATAAATGTGAAAGCTCCATTTGTGAATTTAAAAATGAAGTGAAAAGAAAAGAAGAAATGCATGAATAATTCTATGTGATCCACAAAAAATTGAATTACATTAAAATCTTCTCCCTGATTAAAGTTAAAATTGCTTAAAGCTCTGTGACCGTTGGCGTACCCTGATGAAATTCCTAATAAAGCTCAAACATCCAGTCAAACTAATTTGTGATAAAGCCTTGTAAAATCTGTGTTCACGAGAATGAAGATATAAATCCGAATCAAATAAAAAGATAAAGAAGACTTTAAGTAATTGAAATCACGAGGCGAGTGGAAAATAATTGAGGAGATTTATCAAAACATTATATGGGATATAAGGATTGTTGCTACGTATAACTGATTTAACGAAATTAATTGGCATCTAATAATCTTTTGGATCTCTTAAACTCTCGGGTTTTAGTCGCCAAATTAAAACTTTTGTGTGTGTGTCTTGTTCTAATCTTAATATTTAGATCTTCAGAAGAATTCTTCTTGTCTCATAGATACAAAAGGACAAAAAGTTTCTCTAAGTGTGTCTCATATTTCATTTTAGTAAGTCAGGCCTCAGCAGTGAAGCCTTTGGGGAACAATAAAGATATAGCAGATTGGTTAAAAGATTTATTTATATGACAATATTTATGTGAACTTATCGCTTAATTGGATGAGACGACAATAACAGCAATACAGCACAGAAACAAGATTATTTCAAAGATCCTTGTCCCAATATTATGGATAAATGTTGAAAGAATATTGATTAAGGAATCAGCTTAATTTGACAGCTAAACACTTCCTTTTACATAACATCCATCCACCAAAAAAAAAAAATCTAGTTCTTCTCATCAACAGGTTCCTTAATTAGTTTTTTTTTTATTTCTCATTTTTCCCGATTAAAAACTACAGAAATTAATTTTTTTAAACAGATTTTATGCTTGATTTTTTAATCATTTAAGACTACAAATGCAAAAAAAATATAATCTGATATTTATAATATCTAAAATTCTCTATCAAGCACACACATGATTAGTATTTCGAGGAGCCAGCTGAAAAGGTTAATAAACAACAACAGCCTTCAAAAAAATGTTGTTTATGATTTTTGAATAGCTTCTCAATTTTTTTTGCTGATTCTTTTATGGTACATAAATCTCCTTCTTTTGATATGCCAAAGAGAGACACAATAAGGAACGAAAGTGAGCCATGAATTTTATAGTCAATCTATATCAATTTTTTTTCTTCCTGATTTCACTTAAATATGAAAACTTTTTTTTTTGCTACACTTTAAATGCAAACATACCACAATGTATGCCAGATGTTAAGTTATCAAGCTTGTCCGAAAAATGTATGATATTCGACTTTTTGTTCAACACCGGATACAACTTTTTTTTTTCATTTCATATATTATTTTTTGTGGAAGATGATAGCGGGATCAGTGTTGATAATTTGGTTTCCTCAGTCTGGAATGTGGATATTATGCAAGGCTTTAATTTATGGACTGATTTTAGATAAGACAGGAGTGACTGGGTTAAGTTTGTTTTGGAATTGAATACATTGTATTTGACTCGATAAAAGCGAATTGATTGTGAATCTGATATTCTGAAAATTTAATAAACTTAAAGTAATGGTTCTCATTCTGTATAAGGCTCTTGTAGATGTTCTATAATTTTTTTTGGAAGTCATAATTAAACATAATTTTTCAAAATTATTCTCGGTTCCAGGACCATCCTAGATCATACTTAAATCTAGTGAATTCTAAACTTTTCCGATTTACAGGACATTAATAGCTATTGATACTAGTTTACCTCGGGTAATGTTTTAAGAAGCACAGCTTTGATTAAGGAATTGCTAGTTTATAGCAATTTAAGAAATCTCTAATATAATTGTACGCAAATCACAACCAATTCTTCCTTTTTCATGTACCTAGGTAAATCAAATCTTGAAAATGTATTTCAGTTTTTTAAGAACAATTCTGAGTCACGAAAAGATCCCGGAAGTATGACTTTTTGTTCGGATAAAATTAATTCTCTTGATTATTCCTTGAATCAAATATCATCTGAATATTAACACAACAATGATATCAGTCCTGGACCAGGATTTAAAGGAACTATACATTTTATGAAAATAAGCATTAAAAAATTTGCTAAAGCAAGCTCTTTCTCATCTGCAAAAAGCACAAAAATTTTCAGAATGTTATTTCTGCTGTTCTCTTGCTCTCTCATCCTCCTTTTATTCAATATTCAACGTTCATGTATAACAGAGAATGCCTTTTTATCAAAACCGATAAAATTCATTTTTATGGACACATTCGATAAATTCGACAGCACACATAGACTCAGCAGGTCGTCTAAGTAAAAGAAGAAGAAGAAGTAAATGGTGAGCACAAAAGAGTCAATTTCCATTTAAATTGAAATGATAAATGCTGATGATTGAAGAAATCTTCTTTCTCATCTGTTTTATACCGTTTACTCGCGTGTGCACATAGCATGAATGAATTTTTTGCTGCCAAATTTTCGATGCTGTGATAACTTTTTGGTCTCGTGCTGTAAAAGAGCTCATTTCTAGTCGAATGGATGTATAAAAATGTCATTTGTCGTTTTTGGATATATTAAATAGATGTTTTGCATCCCTAATGTGTTTATACGTGTGACTGAGCTTATTTGTTAATTGCTAGGCGAAGAAATAACGATTCTTGTAAAATTTATGAACGGAAGCAGTCAACTTTAAATGACAATAAAATAAAATCTTCTCAATTTTTATTTTATTTTGCAAAAAAAAACTGTGGTTAATGAATCACGATCAAGAAAATAAGGTTTGCGCATGGTAATAATTATCAAAAGAAGTTTATTGGTCTTGGATTTAAATGCACAACTTTAAATCGTCAAGTTTTATTAACTACTAATGTGATATTTGATCAACTTTACTAAGTTAATCAATAACCCAATATTAAACGGCTGATATCTTAATATCTGCCAAATATTCATAAAAATTCTGACATTTAAGAGGCTGTTGCATCACATCTTGAAGCATTCTTTCAGGACTTGCGACTTGACAATCAAAAAAAATTGTCTCATGATGCGAATCTCATTAATTTTTTTTTATTTGAAGACACATTTAATAACCACCTTAATTTCAATTCTTCTTGTTATTATCGATATAAATATGATATTTTCTTCTTTTCATTTCTAAATTTATCAGCAAGATTTGTTTTTTGATGGCGCCACTTAAAAAGCGTCATCTTTCTGATGATATTTCACAGATAATATCTTAACGATAAATAATCATCAGGCAGGCGATCCCAAGAAGTTTTTGTTTCTTTTTCTTTTATTTTGATCTCATCAGATATTTAATTTCAGGAATCTCGAGATATTGGTGCTCTCATATAAACTATATTTGGATACAGTGGATCGTTCTAAACATTCTTGCAATCAAGATGTATTTTATGACAGTATTAAATGAAGGCTAAAGTTGTTTTGATTTACTTTTCTGCAAGTTATTTGATTGCTGTATTTTATGGATGTCAGAAGCTTTCGTTAAATCGGTTCCTAATGGTTTTTGATTGTCTTTAGAAGATATATCAGGACTTGACTATAAAAGAGAATCAAAAATCTGTTTCTGTAAAGTGATTGGCAAAATGGAAATATTTTTGGATTCAAAATTTATTAATTACTAATTTGCAAGATTCTTTAGACTGGATAAGCTGGAAATACAGGGAGCTATCTGATAAAATAAATTCTCATCGGGCAGTCTCGAATTCTTGCATGACATAGACAATATTTTAAAATTCCACAGATTTCAAAACTGTTGATAATTGAAGAAACAAATCAAGATTTTCTGCAATCAAAAAAATATTTTAAATGAGAACTTAACTTAGTCATGGAAGTGTGCCTCTAGTCCAAACACCAATCTTCAGGATGTAGAATTTAAATAAAAACAAAGTTACAATGCTGCAAAGTCTCATATTTCAAAAAAAGTCCACGATCTCATTTTTTTCGTAAATACTATACAGTTTTATTGACTTCACGGGATCTTTAGGAATTTTTGGGTTGTAAAAGTAACAAAATATCACAAACAGATTTATTTCTAAAGTTAGCAAAAAACATTTAAATTTATTTTTATTAAGCATATATTTCTACAAATTACGGAACTATAATCTTTAACGACTGTGCATTTGTTTGATAATTGAGAGACATGCTGGGTTTTATAATTTAAAAAAATAATTAAAAGTTGATATATTTTCATGAATTTTCGAGACACAAAAGAGTTTAAAGTCTAGACATATTACGTGTGCACATAATCATTTATCATAGGAAAAGATAACTGACGATAGACAAAGTAATAATAGCAGCTCATCATG